CACATGCAGACAGCCACCCATGTGCCAAAAATGTGGCTCATACAGACATGAAGCCACAGAATGCACATGGGCCGCATATTGCATACACTGTAAGACAGAGGGACACACAGCTACCCAAAACACCTGCCCGATCAAACAGTCACACATCCTTAAGCTCAACAAACACATTACTAAAGCCCAACTACCCAAACCAGCTACAATTCCAATATACAATTCCATCCCTCACTTCATCGACCTTGACTCTACAACTGACTCACTGTCTAGCTCCCTCCCAGAAACCCTACCCCCCCCCGCCCCGCCCCCAAGGGAGAAAACGAAAACAACTCTTCAGGAATCACAACCCCTCCCAAGCACCACCCCCCCCTCTACTACCCAACCCCGTCCCCACATCCTCCCTCTCCCCACCCCCCTCTTCTACCCCCCTCCCCCAACCTTACCCACACCCCTCCCACAGGCTCCAACCCCCAACAGCTCCCAAATTGGCCCTGTTACCCACCCCCCAACCCCACCTGCCCCCAGCCCCTCACCAACCTCCCCTTACAACCCCTCCTATCCAGCCCCCCCCCCCCCCCCCCCCTAAACCCCCCATCCCGGCCCTCCTCTCCATTCAAACAGCCCCCCCCTCTGTCCCATCCCCTCCCATACAGCCCCAACCAGACCTGTCCCTTCCCAAACCCCTCTACCCAGCTAGATCAGCCATTCCAATCCCATCAAACCAACCCCAACACAAAAACAAACAAATCAACTACAGGATCAACACAACACGGAAACAACTACTCTCCCACAAACTCCAAACACTCAAAACAACCCCTCAAGTTATAGTCACACCCAAAAAACTTCACTCAAATACACACAAAATCATAGAATTCATATCAGCAGCCATTCTCCTCAGAAACCCCACCACCAAGAAACTCCACTCCCTAGCCCACCAAGCAAACATATATCAAAAAACCCTACAACAATTCCAGGCAGCCTTAAGGACCCTTAAATGAAACCCTGCCCATATTATTCTAAATTAGCCCCGGAACACCATCCATTTAACTTCCCCCTTATTCTAAAACCAACTAATGGTGTTCATACAGTGGAATTGCAACGGGATCACCACCAATGGGCATGAGCTTAAGGCCCTCATCGCCCTTCAAAAAATTTCTCCACTATTAATCGCAGTCCAAGAAACTAAACTATCCCCCAAAAGGACCTTCAAAATTCCAGGCTATTTTCTCATTCGAAAAGATAGACCCCGACCCATTAACTGCCCAGGACCACCACATGGCGGCCTGGGCATTTTCATCAAAAACCATCTTGACTATGACATAATAGATATTCCTACTCCAAACCTGGAATGCCTGGCCATCAAAACAACTATACACCAAACTAAAATCAGTATTATAAATGTCTATCATAGCAAAATAACACCCCTCTCGGCTGAAGACCTTAATGTCTTATCAAAATTCATTGAACCTAACACCATTTTTCTAGGCGATTTCAATGCTCACCATCCACTGTGGGGCACAAAAAACTATACAGATAAATTCGGAAAATTAATTCAAGAATGGTCAGAATCAAACAACCTTATTTGCCTAAATGATAACCAACCTACTAGATACCCCACAAGCCACCTACATTCCCCCTCAGCACTCGACCTTACCTTCACTACCCCCCATCTCCATCCTAAACTCTGCTGGGAGGCCCATTCGGACACCTGGGGCAGTGACCACACGCCCATCAAAATTTCACTATCCCTACCCACCCCAATCCCAAACTGCTACCCCATTAGACAACTCCTCCCAGCAACCCAAGTTCAATCTTAAAAAGGCTGACTGGAAAACATTCCACACACTCTGCAATCAAATAAACATACAAAATATACACAACATTGACAACGACATCTTCAATACAAACTTCACAAACAAAATTCACAATATAGCCCTCCAATGCATCCCAACAGTCAAAACATCACCGCACCATATCACTGTTCCCTGGTGGAGCTCAGAAATAGATAATTCTAGAAAACTTAGAAAAAAGGCACTTAATAAAGCCAAGCGGGACACAACCAAACTCCCCTTGGCAAAACAGTTCAGAAACTCAACTAAACAACTTATAAGAGCAGCCAAAAGAAAACATTGGCAAACTTTTACCAGTTCCTTGAAAATGGGGAAACAAAATACCAAAATTTTATGGAAAAAACTTAAAGCCATAAAGGGCACTTCAAAAACCTTCTCAGCCCCATCCTTCCCTAATCTAAATACAGATAGAGAAAAGGCTAACGCCATGGCTGCTCACTTTTCGGCCACTAGCAGCTCCGCCAACCACACCCCCATTATGCAAGACACTATTAAAAATCACCCCACTTATTCCCCCAGACCACCCCTCACAAGCATGTCATACAATAAAACAATAAACATACATGAACTACAAACAGCCATCAATAACAAAAATACAGCCCCAGCCACAGGCACAGACAACATTAGCTATACTATCCTCAACCACCTTCCCCCTAAAATTCAAAAACTTCTTCTCCAATTATTCAATCAAATTTGGACTTCAGGCTCCCTCCCCCATGCTTGGAAAACAGCTTTGGTAGTACCGGTTCTCAAACCAGGCAAACCCCCCAAAGAACCGGATTCCTACCGCCCTATCTCGTTAACCTCACATATTTGTAAAATAATGGAATCCGTCATAAACAATAGACTAAAATTCCAAATTTCATCCCAAAAACTACTTAATGAGGACCAGAGTGGCTTTATGTCAAACCGACAAACTTTAGACCACGTTTTACAGTTAGAACATGACGTTAAAACAGCACTCGCCCCAAAACAATATACTGTGGCCATTTTCATAGACTTTAGTAAAGCATTTGATATGGTTTGGCATCATGGCCTAATCCAAAAACTTAAAGCAAAAGCCATAGATGGTAGAATTCTAAATTTCATACACTCTTTCCTAACAGACAGAAACATCACAGTTAAAACCAACAACACCCTATCTGACCCACATCCTTTAGACAATGGTACCCCACAGGGCAGTATAATCTCTCCAACACTTTTTAATTTTATGATTGACGACATTTCCCACCTAAAATTAAAAAAACAACTACTGCAAAATTCGCAGATGACATTTCCTTCTGGACGTCGTCAACATCTATAAAAGAGATCCAAAAAAGAATTCAACCCCTTCTGAAACACATAGAACTCTGGGCAACCCAGTGGGGATTCCAAATTAATACTAATAAAACCATCGGCCTACTTTTCAAAAATAGACATATGCCAAATTGCACACCCAAACTCACCCTTAACGATCAAACCATTTCATTCAAAAAGGAAGCCAAATTTCTGGGAATTACTTTTGACCAGCACCTAACATGGGCTCCCCATATTCATAATTTGGTCACATCATGTCAAAAAGACTTAAATTTAATGAGAGCCATCAGCGGCACTGATTGGGGCGCTGACAAACAAACACTGCTTAATATATACAAGTCACTAATTCAATCTAAGATTGACTATGCTGCCCCGGTCCTCAACACCATCTCAGAAACTCTTAATAACAAACTAAATTCCATTCAATATAAAGCTCTAAAGATAGCCCTGGGTACCAGAACCGGTACAGCCCTAAATACCCTTCAGCTTCTATCAGGAACCACCTCCATTCAACTCCGCCGCAACCAAACCATTCTCAATTACTGGGCTGGGGCCCAACAAAACCCCATCCTTAAACAAATTATCACTAAATACAACAACCTTAGACCTGCAACCTTAAAGAAATTCAAAAACAATCATACCCTAGCCCCCTATCTTACACATCTCTACAAACTCCTAAGAATACATCAGTTAGAAAACGTTAAACACATAAGCCCCCAAAACATATACATAAATGACAAACCCCCCCCTGAAACAGACCTCTCACTCCACAAAACATTCATCTCACATCCTGACCCTAAAAATCTTGATAAAAAAGAAATATCTAATAACTACATACATCAAAACTGGCCCAACCACACCCATATCTATACCGATGCATCACAGACTAACAATGACATAACAGGACTAGGCCTACAGATCACACAACCTACACCAATCACCACAAACTTCCACTATACCAACTACACACATACCACCACAGCTGAATTACTGGCTATACAATGTGCATATCACTATATAAAAATATCCAATGACACTAACTCCCTTATAATTTCAGACTCATTAGGTGCACTAACCCAAATTCATAACAAACAATCGAAATCAAGGCAAGACATTATAAACAATATCATAGACATTCACACAAAACTCATACAATCAAACAAAACAATAACTCTCTTATGGGCACCTGCACACACTGGCATAACAGGCAACCAATTAGCAGACACAGCAGCAAAATTAGCCACCACCCAACCATCACCAAGTATTGATTTCACCACCAGTAAAGCCGAGATAAAATCATTAATCAAAAGAAACACATTATCTCAAAATTTCAAAATTAATATTCAAAATTGTAAGTCAATCCTGACAAAATCCCTCTTTAATAAACCAGTCACTAAGTGTCGAAACTTCACAAAGTCCATTTTAGCAGATAAAGTCATTAATAGAATGCTAAGCGGCCAAACTAATCTAAACGAGACACTCTACAAACAAAAAAGACACCCACATCCAAACTGCATTCACTGCAATACACCTGAAACACTAGACCATATATTCAACCACTGCTCACAATATAAACAACAACAAACACAACTTTACAACTCTCTCCCCCCACAGCTCAAAAACAACATCCAACTCCTTCTAGATCCCTTTAACCATACCACTAAATTTACCCATATAGCTACATTCCTTAAAACTACAAATCTAATAAGCAAACTTTAGGAAAATCCCAACAAAGTACAGCATAAACGCTATGCCTAAAACCCACACATTTACAATTTAGGATCGGGATCCAAATTCTCAGCGCGGACCGACTTCTCCGACGTCCGCGCGACAAATTCGCCCATATCCATACTCATAAATATGACCGTTCAACCAGCCACCAACCCAAGCTCAGCTCCCACGCGCACGGCCTATACCCACCCCCCCCCCCCCCCCCCCCCTCCTGACTCCCTACCCCAGCCAGTAAGTCCACACTTTTTATGATAGGTTTTTCACCTTCCCCACTGTTATTTTTCATTTATAATACATATTATTATTTAGCATATCAGCTTAACTGATTTTATATTATATCAAGTCTCTGCACTAGTTACTTCCCTTAGATTAGGTTTCTCTCAGCTCTACATTACTACTGCTAAACTTCTTTTCCCTTCACACCCCTTTACTATATTTCTTTCTTCTTTAACCCCCCTAAACTTACATTTTTTTGGGCCAGCCGATTACTTATGTATTACCCACTATTATTTATTATTGTTAAACCCGTCTGGCCCCGACTGCGAAATAGCCAACGGCTGAAGCGGTCGTAAAATCTACAATACTACTACTTTGTTTGTACCATCTCGGCTTGGACACTCGCCCCGTGCAGACGTGTCCTTCCTTGCTCTCAACCCAAGCTATCACCATGAGGGATATCGCTCTATCTCTACCTAGGGAGCTAGTCGCCATCCTGGAGCCCTTGCTGGCTTACAGGGTCGGGGACTACTCCCTTCGGACTTCGTACAAGTCCAACTCCTCCACCCTCTCCATCTCCTTCGACTTAGGTCAAAGGAAAAAGGCCTCTGGTCAAAGCTCCGGCCAAGACCAAGCCTAAGGAGAAGAAGACCCCGGCCCCTGCCCCTGCTGCACCACGCCCGGTACAGAAGGCCAAGCCGCCCACAGTGAAGAAGGCTCCACCAGTCGCCCCCATGGAGATCCAGGAGAGCCTTCCCACCACCCCTCCACCCCCTTCAGCTGCACTGGAACTCGCTCCCCTCGAATCCAGAGGGGAGGAGCCCTTTCGCACGCCGGAAGGGACAGGACATGGTAGAAAGAAGAGAAAGAGGAAAAGTATCTTCTCCCCCGACTCTCCCCCTCTTCCATCACCACCAAGCAGAAACACGGAGACCCAGACCGCCACACCACCAGGCCCGTCTCTCAACTCTAGCCAAGTCCAGACTGACCCAGTCCCGGACCGAGTTCCAATGGAAAAACCGGAGGACCAGCGGTTACTTCTCTCCCGGGAAGCGACCAGTCTACTGGAAGCCCACAAGAGCCTACCACCACCGGCCTGCGGAACTCGCACAAACTGGATTAAGCCAAGCAGTCGCCCCTTACCATCCCTGGTCATGGTTCAGACCATAGAGGGCGAACGGTTTGAGCATGACATCCACAACTTCACCGACATGAAGGAGTTTCTGGAGCAGAGCGAACTCGCCTGCCCAGACCACTTCATCGCCGCCATGGCAGCTCGCCTCATCAAGGGATCCTTCCAAGACATCTCCAATGAAGAAAGCAAGCTCGCCAACCTCCTCCTCGCTGGCGTTTCCCAGTAAACGCCCTCGTCGCCACACAAGCTCGCCCGCCGACGCCGTGCCTTCCCACGCCTGACCCTCTCCCCACCAACCCACGCCCAAACTTTTCCATATTATTGAGTATTCTATTACCACCCACACCCCCCCAGCCAAACCCACTGCCCCTTAGCTTTTATTAGATTAGTGCTGTAAAAGTTACATTTTTTTTGGTCGCACTTCTTTATTTATTTATTACGCTTTTTTTCTCCCAATAGTATAAAGTGCTTCCCCGTGTGCGAAATACGCTAATAGTCGGAAAGCGCACGTTAAATCTCCTAAATCCATCCATCCATCTTGTTTGTACTCCAAGCTAGCAACACCTCCTCAGCCTACGAAGCAACCCAAGCCATCCAGCCACCAAGCCAACCTCACCCAGCAAGCCTCCCAAGCCAGCACAGTTCCACTGATAGCCAGCCCAAGAGCAACAACTCGGTAATTATCACAACACACCCATACAATTTAGGTTAAAACCAATCACACACAAGCCCACTTAAAATACCAAACCCACAAATTCCTTAGTTAATATCCAAACACACCCTTTCAAACTTAGGCAAAAGTAACTCACCCCCAAGCCCACTTAAAACACCAACCCTCCAAAAATCTCCTAACTAAATAAACAAACTCACCAACAAACCCAAACAGCGCAGAAGCCAGCCAAACACCACTCACCCAGTCACCCACTCTACACTTACTTACTTACTTACTTACTTTGGAGATTTAACGTGCGCTTTCCGACTGATGCGTATTTCGCACACGGGCCCGGCCAGGCCATTTAATGTGTTTCCGAAAGGGGCGAAGGTGGTCTGTGCAACCCAAGAGGGGGGTTTTAGGGGTTGCTTATATAGAATTTGGGAATTTTGAGATTTGGAATAGATGCCGATGGGATTGGGGAGGAGAACTAAGGGAGCTGGGTATGGTGGATGTTTGTTTGTTTATGTGATTTTGATTTGGTGAGTTATTGTGTTTTTAGATGCGTTTTATTAGTTCCGTTTTGATTAAGAATACGCCTAAGGCCTTGAAGTTTTCTAGTTTATTTTGTGGGTTTAGTATTGCTTCTAGAGTTAGAGCCTTGTTTAGATTGAGGGTGGTTTGTAATGCGGTTCGATGTGTTAGGTAGTGTGTGCAGTGGATGAGTGCGTGTTCTGGGGTTTCTGGTTGTTTGCAGTGCGGGCAGTTACCTGTAGTGTGTTTTTTAATTTTTTTTAGGTGGTTATTTAGGTTGGTGTGTCCTGTTTGGAGTTTAGTGATTACTCTGTCGATTTTTTTGGATGGATGGAGAATTTTGGTTTGGTTAGTGGTTTGCTGAGCACTTTTTTGATTTGGCTATTTGAGTTTAGATATAGGTTATGCCATTTTTTGGTGATTTTTTGCTTGTTTACACTTTTAATTTCTGATTTTGAGATGGGTAAGTTTAAGCTTATTTCTGGGATTTTGAGGGATAGTTTAGCTGCTTTATCGGCGTTTTCATTACCGTATATTCCTACGTGGGCGGGTATCCACAAGAAGGTTATTTGTTTGCCTGCCTTAGTTAGGTCGTTGGAGCTTTTAAGTATTTGATTTATTAATTTAGGTCGGTTTTTGGTATTTTTGTTTTGGAGGGCTTGCAGTCCACTTAGGGAGTCGGTAAGTATTAGGATTTTTTTTGTGGTTTTTGGATTCTTGATTATGGAGGGCTGAGGCCATGCCCATTAGTTCTGCCGTGAATATTGATTGGTTGTTTGGGAGTCGGAAGGATTGTGTGGTTTTAGTTGGTTGTGTGGTATGGACTCCGAAACCTGTGTGTTTGGAGGTCGGATCTGAGGATCCGTCCGTGTAAATGTGACACCAATTTGGCCAATTTTCGTGTATGTATGCTAGTGTGGTAGTTTTAGCTATGTTTGGGTCGGTTTGTTTATTTATTTGGCTAGCTAGTGTTGTGTCTATTTTTTGGTATTTTAAGTTTAGGGGTGAAGATATTTGATTGTTTGCAGTTTTGTTTAAGATTTTTAATTTGGTGTTCATTTAGGTAGTTTGTTATTCTTTGGGATATTGGGGTAAGTAAGGGGTGTTTACGAGCTAGAGCTTGGTTTTTGGGGCTGATGTTTTGGTTTATTAAGTTTTGGATGAGATGGTTTGATTGGGACGCGGCCCAGAAATTTAAGCTTAGCTGTTCCCTGCGTAGACTTAGTGGCATTTCTCCTGTTAAGGCCTGAAGTGAGGTGTAGGAGGTGCCATGTTGGGTGCGTGTAATTAGTTTGAGAGCCTGATATTGTATTGAGTCAAGTTTTTTAGATAGAGAGTTGTTTAGGGTGTTGTATATGGCGCAGCCGTAGTCTAGTTTTGATCTAATTAGTGATATGTAGAGAGAGAGGAGGGTATCTTTGGATGCTCCCCAGTTAGAACCAGTTAGGCATCTTAGGGTGTTTAGGTCTTTACTGCATTTAGTTGTTAGGTTTTGGATGTGAGCATCCCAGGTGAGATGTTCATCGAAAATAAGTCCTAAGAATTTGGTTTGTTTTTGAAATTTGATTGTTTGATTGTTTAGCTGGAGGATTGGGGAGGCGGGTTTCATGTTTTTATGTTTGAATACTATTCCTGTTGTTTTTTCTGAGTTAAGGGAGAAGCCCCATTTGTCAGCCTACTGTTGTATTTTATTAAGAGATTTTTGGAGTAAATTTTGGACCATGTTCATGCTTTTAGTGCGGATCCAGATGGCTCCATCATCCGCGAATTTTGATGTGTTTACTTTAGGGGATAGGCCCTCGAATAGATCGTTTATCATTATATTGAAGAGGGTGGGGCTGAGGATACTGCCCTGTGGAGTACCATTTTCTAGGGGACATTGGTCCGATAGAGTTTGGTCTATACCCACGGTTATTTTACGATTGTTTAGGAAGTCCTGGATGTAGTTTATTATCTGACCTTTGAGACCTATTTTTTTAAGTTTTTGTATTAGCCCATCGTGCCATACCATGTCGAAAGCTTTAGAGAAGTCTAAGAAGATGCCTGTGGTATATTGTTTATTTAGCTGTCCTGTCTTAATATCTTGTTCTAGTCGGGTGAGGTTATCTAGGGTTGAGCGGCCAGGAGTGAAACCGCTTTGATCTGGGTTTATGATGTTATTTTGGGTTAAGTAATGTTGTAATCTATTTTTAGCCATTGATTCCATTACTTTACATAAGTTTGAAGTTAGGGATATTGGTCTATATGAGTTAGCTTGATTAGCTGGTTTATTAGGTTTAGGGATTGGTATGACTAGGGCCTGTTTCCAGGGAGTAGGAACCTGTCCGTTTAGGTAGATGAGATTGTATAGTTTGAGTAGTGCCTGGAGTAGTTTTAGGGGGAGTTTTTTAATTATTTGGTAAGAAGTTAGGTCTAATGCTGGGGCTGTGCCCTTTTTCCTGTTTTGGATTACGTAGAGGAGCTCCTCCATTGTGTAGGGTTGATTTATTTCTAGATTGTTATTGTTTGGTTCTTTTGTAGGTTTGTTTTCTGTTTTAAGTTTATCTTGGAATTTTTTACTGAAGTTGGTGTTACTGCTACACTCTACACACAAAAGCCCCTCTTAAGCTCAGCTCACTCTCCTCCCCCCAAACAAAACCTAAACACACTACATCAACCTACGCACAACCACAGACATGGCCGACACACGTATAATCACCCAGGCAGACATCCACTGCACAGAGACACCCACACCATCGGAGGCCCACAACACCTCCGATCGGACACCTGAAACCCTCATCCCACACGAATTCGGAAAGCCAACTACAGTCGCTTCTCCTACCAAAACTTCGGATTCGCCCGCAACCACAACAAACCCCCAAAAACGGAAGTTGGACGCTTCAAACACAACACCCACATCACCTTCCATCCCTGCATCCATGGTCACGTTCGCTCTCTACTTCTGCGCGGCTGGCCCCATTAACACACTAAGTAAGGTACTATCCGCTAATAAAGTAGGACTATGGTTTAAAAAACAAAAAATACACTTCGATAAAATCAGGGAAGCTCACAAAGGATTTCAAATCATCTTTCCGGACCAACACTCACTTAATGCAGCCAAAAAAATAACGGAAATATTTCAATACACAGTAACCCACCAAACCCCAAACTGGCAACTATACACTAGAGGAGTAATCAGTGTAAACCCTAGAGAGTCAGAGGAAGACCTAGAATTATACAGTAACGAAGCAAATCTTAACACAGACACCCTCCAACCTAAAATAACCAGCACTAGGAGAATTACCTCAAATAGGAACGGTAGAATAACCAACACGCCAATAGTCATCATAAACTTCCAAAAATCAGATAAATATCCAGTAGCCCCTAAACACATCTCCTTCGGAGCGTCATCTAAATTAGAAGTTAAACCCTACATCAAACAAGTTAAACAGTGCACTAACTGCCTTCAATATAACCACACCGCTAACGACTGTAAATATCAAAAAACTAAATGTAGAACTTGCGCTCAACCTCAATGTCCAGGATCCTGCACTCCCTGGTGCATTCACTGCAAAACAACCAATCACTCCTCACTATCCAACAAATGCCCCCACAAACACACCCTCACCCAACAGGCCAACAGACACATAGACATCGACTCGGCCAAATTACAAACACGAAAACTGACACAGCATCCAAGAACACCCCTGCTACCCACACCACAACCAAACAACGAACCACACCTACAGAGCCCGTTTGACAGCGTCCCCATGAAAATACCACACGCAACAGCCACAAACACCCAAACCCCACACTACCCGCCAACATTCGCCACACCCAAACCAGTCCTTGCATCTACTCCCGCACGCAAACCAAAACTCACCATACCCGCCATATCCCACCCAAACACCATACAATCCACAGCCACCAGGGCAACAACAATCGGACACGAGCAAGCAACACCCGAAAACACAAACATAACTCAACCCATTGAAATACCCAGCACGACACAACCAATCACTCAAACAACCCCCATGGATAGTGAGGACACTAATCTAATT